AAGTTACTATTTAGTACATTGTTTAGTGTCTCTACTTGCATACTGCTTTTGGCCAGAGGGATTCTGATTAGAAAGGAGCATAGAAATAAAGTTGTTTAATATTTACAAATAACCTTCTGGAATGCTAAAATCTTGGACTTTATCCCTTCCCTTCCCCCTCCCCTCAGATTCTCTCTGGAAGAGTTGAAGAAAGAGAGCACAAGGAACTCTATAACCAGAGGCAGAACCCAAAACTAACTGGGCCACGTCCTGCTTACGTGGCTGTGGGCAGAATCTTTCCATCGGGACCACCGTGGCTAAAAATGGTTATAAACGAAATTGACGGCTTTGCCATGGAAGTCAAAAGGAGCTCGCAGGAAGAGGAAGATTTGACTGTTGACCAGTGGATGTCAGGCAGGCCTCCCCAGTGTCAATGGAAATAGATAGGTTGTGACATTAAAAAAAAAAAACTTGGAGATCATGAAGAGAACCATCAGGGCCCAAGACCCACACTGCTTACATCTCTTGCCTTCTAAAGGCCAGGTCACTTTCATGTCAGAACTTAAGGATCAACAGAGAAAACTGTGGGCAAGGCAGCACAGAGGGTATGAACCCTAAGTTTCGTTATTTATAAAAAGAGGGACAATATGACCTGCGTTATAGGGGATTAAACTTATCAGAGGATAAGTAAAATCTGAACCTAAAAACTCAGTAAGAGGCATTTACCTAAAAATTTTACATAACATAAAACACAAAAAGACCAAATAGTTTGCAGAGGGCAACATGAAAACTTGCCTGAGTACTACAATTGCCATTCACAGACCGCTGAACTAATACAGCTTCCATTCCTAATATCTGTCTCATTCTACCGTCTATTTGCTGTAGTAAGAAACAATTCTGCTTCCTAGTGGGGCAAAGTATTACTTCCTTGCTACTCACAAACCTCAGCATATCTGTCTTTCTAGAAAACTGCATTTTCTGAAGTGACTGTAATGGAAACTGAACCTTAGATCACGCTCACCATAGCACACTTAACAAATACTCTGGTATATATTTTATAAAACGGTAAAATGAATGGAAATGCCGTATCATTATGGTTTGTTTTAAGCAAAAACCTTAAGTTATCTTATTACTCAGAAATGTGATTTAACATAAGCCAAAAACCATTGTGGGGGTATGAGATAAACAGCAGAAAACCTTAATATTGACAATCAGAGTTAAACCTCACCCCAGATATCTCAGCAATTAAGAAAGTTGGTTTCAGTCAGGTATTGCCACATGTGTTTAGTGGAGGATTAAGTGACTGAATGTCATGCCTATAATATATATCTTTATGTAAGCTATGAATGTGTTTAAAAATAGACAAGGCCATGCTGTCAATCTGCGACATTACTGCCACATGTCTGCACACACACCCCACCCCCTTCAGAGATTAAAAAAAGGAGAAGCAGGTTAAAAAGAAGTGTTTTGGGCTACGCAAGGTGGCTCACGCCTGTAATCCCAGCGCTTTGGGAGGCCGAGGAGGGCAGATCACCTGAGGTCAGGAGTTTGAGACCAGCCTGGCCAACATGGCAAAATCCCATCTCTACTAAAAATACAAAACTTAGCTGGGCATGGTGGCACATGCCTGTGGTCCCAGCTACTCAGTAGGCTGAGGCAAGAGAATCGCATAAACCCAGGAGGTGGAGGTTGCAGTGAGAGGAGATCGTGCTACTGCACTCCAGCCTGGTAAGTAGAGACTCCACCTCAAAAAAATAAATAAATAAATAAATAATAAAAAAGAAGTGCTTTGAAGTCAAATCACATTTTACCTCCCACAAGGAAATGAAGTGACTTTCCGAAGTAATTTATAGACAGTAAGTAGCAGAGTCACTGGCTGCAAATCCAATTCTGTTTCACCATGTGATTGCTTGCTTTCTCTGGGGAAGAAAGTACTGTTTTAACCACTATTATGTTGCCGCCTTCAAATGGTATTTGGTGTGTTAGGCTTTTTAAGAAAAGCCCCTGCTGCTGCAACTTGTCTTTTTTCCTGTGAGGCTCACTCTGTGTGAAGTTAGGTGATGGGAGACTGCTGAATAAATACCTTGCAGCCAAGAGTTAGGGAGCATAGACACGCGGCTGCCGAGCAGTGGCCTTTAACTGATGAATGTAAAGCAAACATCAGGGGAAAAAGAAAGTAGAGGAATCCTGTGTGCTCAGGGACTTCCCTGAACGGGGTGTTGGCCTCTAGTTGGTGAGGACTTGAAATGGCCGAGGGACTCAGAGCTCTGAGCAGAGCCCTGTTCCCAAAGGATGACTCATTCTGAAAAAGATAAATAACCTAAAAGTTTGCCTATGTAGAACTTATTATGCAAAGATCAAAAGCATTCCCTATTTGACTTCTCTGAATGTGTATCATTCAAACAGCACAAGTGTGAATACAAAGGTATTCTGACCCTAAGAAACACAGTCTTATAACTAAGAAGGTAAAAACAGTTGTGATTTAATTAGGGAGGTACATAATTTGAAGGCAGGTATTCTACTTCTTTGCATTTTGCTATGTAATATAATTCTTTACATTTATCCAGGAAGCAGTTAAACAAAAATATACAAGGTACCTATAAAAAGTTACGTTTTCATAGAAGAATACTGCCAACGAGATCCTGTATGCTTTTACATTACAAATCTCAGTCATTTCACCCATCACTCCTGGTGATACCCCAGTGTTAAGACTGTGAGCCAACACCTATGCCCTGATGTTTTGGGGCACAGGCTGACTGCCTTCAAGAAAATGAGAAGCCACTAAGGGTTAAGACCCTAACAAATCCAGCCCTATGAAGTGACAACTGGCATAACCCTCTTTGCATGTCCCCCATTCACCTCTGACATGAAACAAATCATGTGAATTAATGAGATCTGACAGAACAGCATTAAGAAAAATATGAAAATGTAAAAGAATTGTTCTATTGTTTGTGTTAACTAAAATCTGAATAGTTCATCATCTCTGGTTTGAATGGTGGACTTCTTTTTCTCCCCTGTGAATTTTAGTGCAGAAAATGTTAAGTTTCTTAACACAAAATTGTTTTGGACAAAGACAGAATTTTTAGAGAGTTAGCTGCAACATTCTGGGAAGCTGACTAGAAAAGCACACCAGCCGAAAGATAAACACTGAAAAAGATTTGCATTTTTTTTCTTTTGATGGCATCTCCTATCAGCAAATGTTGAGGTGCAGACAGCATGGCCTGGGAAAGGATGAGCCACGCCCGACTGCCAGGAACACATACCTCACAGAAACTCACTACTTGAGAAGGCTGCTTTTCCGCCTTAGCTCCTGCTGGGCTGGCGCTACCAAGCACCAGCCAAAAGTACACAGTGTACCCAATCAGTAGCTTATTACCATGTTCCTGTTGTTTCACTTTTGCCTGGGTCTGGGGACAGACCCTGAACTAGATGTCCTGTCCGACAGTACAGGCAGCTGAAGAGCTTGGTCTGCTGCCTGAGGTCCCGGTTCAATCCCTGGCACTTCCACACACTGCCTTGTGACATAAGCAGAGGGCCTGACCTGTTTATTGTCTATAAAATGGGGATCGTAACTCCTGTCTCACAGGGTTACTAAGAAGAGTCAGTCAACAGATACATGGAAATCCCTAACACCGTCCCCAGAGGTGGCAAAATTCAATAAGGGCCAATAAGGACTAGCTGCAAATGACGGCTGCGTCAGCATGCACACTTGTTCACTCTTCACAAAGCTGAGGGAAGGAACACAATCTCCAGAAATGCAGGATGCTTGTCAGGCATCTTTCACTACTTCACCTCTGGCACACAGAGTCATGTCCCGCACATAATTAGCGCTTCACAAATGTTTGCTGAATACATGAATGGCTGAAAGCAAGAATCTGGAATTCTACTAAAAAGGACTATAGGCATTAGATTCAACAGTCTTAGGCAAGGAGACATTTAAGTCACACTGCTACCCAGACCCACTCAATTACTACAATGACAACAACACTTCTCCAATACTGAAAGTTATTTCCTATATGCACTTTTTCAGATAGCCAGAAAACTTTTCAGAGAGTCAAGCTCAGCTGCAAATATAACCATCAATATACTGAAATTATCTAGTAACATTCATATCTTCCTATATTTGTAAGAATGTTTCAATGTTCTTATATTTATATATGAAAAATCAGGATGATCACTTCCATTTACAATTAAATTTTCAGTAAAAATACTCAAAAAAAATTACTGAGAAAATTACATAGAAAAAAAGAATTGTGGTACCTTAAAGAGAATATTTAATTAAGTTATAATTTTTCAAAAGGTAAAAAAAAAAAAAAAAAAAAAAAAAAGCTAACCTGATGCCTTGGAATTTCTTAGCTAAACTTTCAGAAAAAGAAATAAAGGAATAAAAAATAAATGAGTTCTTCAGGCTAAAAAAAATATGCTGTGACCTATTAAAATCTAAAGGAAAATTTTCTAAGAGTTTATGACAAATAAAAAATTTTTCTGTTAGAGTCTAAGTAACATTTTGAAAGCTAAAACCTGAATTTTTATCCTGGTACTTGAATAAATCATGGTAACTAAAAATTAATTTACTTAGGATACAGTGAGACAGATGCTTAGAACACAATGCACAGCTAAGATATTTCTTTTCCTTTTCTTTTTTTTTGAGACGGAGTTCTGCTCTTGTTGCCCAGGCTGGAGTGCAATGGCACGATCTCGGCTCACTGCAACCTCTGCCTCCTGGGTTCAAGTGATTCTCCTGTCTCAGCCTCCGGAGTAGCTGGGATTACAGGCGTCTGTCACCACACCCAGCTATTTTTTGTATTTTTGGCAGAGACAGGGTTTCACCATGTTGGCCAGGCTGGTCTCAAACTCCTGACCTCAGGTGATCCACCCTTCTTGGGGCCTCCCAAAGTGCTGGGATTACAGGCATGAACCACCACACCTGGCCTAAAACATTTTCTTTAAATGAAAAAAACATATGGAGAAAACATAAAACAGCTTTCACTATAGATGGTGCCATTTTGGTTTTGTTTTACCTTCAACCATGAGCATGGGCTCCCTGCCTCCACCGTGGGCCAGCATCTCCTTGCGATAGCGCTCCCCAGCGGCCCTGGGGAAGAGACGAACTGTTAAGACACCTGCTTGCGCAGCCTCCATTCACACTGGTTTTGACTCACAAGACAAGTCCTGACTCACACTGACATCATATTCATAAAAGCTGCCACCATGTGACAATTCGGCCATTATTTTCTTGCTTCTAAAAATCAAATTCTGGCTTTTAAATTGTTCTAAAATAAATCAGGTGTGATATATTCCCTGTACGAGGACAACTATACTTTTGGCTCTCTGCTTTGTTAACAAGAGACCTCACTTTATAAAAATAATTACTTTATGTATTAATCAATAGCTGTCCCCAGCCTTTTTGGCACCAGGGACTGGTTTTGTGAAAGACAGTTTTTCCACAGACCAGGGTTGATGGGGGAGGGATGGTTTCAGGATGATTTAAGAACATTCCATTTATGGTGTACTTTATTACCACATTATACATTGGAATATATAGTGGAATAAGTATACAGCTCACCATAATGTAGAATCAGTGGGAGCCCTGAGCTTGTTTTTCTACAACTAGATGGTACCATCCAGGGTTGATGGGAGACAGTGACAGATCATCAGGCCTTAGATTCTCATAGGGAGTGCCCATCCCAGATCCTTGTGAGAGAATCATAAGGATCACATGTGCAGTTCACAGTAGGGTTCCTGCGCCTATGAGAATCTAACGCTGCCACTGATCCAACAGGAGATGGCGCTCAGGCGGCAGAGTGATGGGGAACGGCTGCAAATACAGATGATGCTTCACTCGCTCACCCACCCACCACACCTCCTGCTGTGTGGCCCAGTTCCCAGGGCCAGTCTGTGGCCTGGGGATTGGGGACTCCTGTTATAGAATAAGTAAAATATTATATTTTATTCTCTATAAAAATAGTTTTAGGATTATTTTAAATGAGGCTTGAAATTATACCATTAAGAAATAATTTGTGATGGCACCTAATAAAGAAGAGAAAAAGAACATTCTAAAATAAGAGTGAAGGAAGAGAAGCCGGCAGGAAAAGGTTAATTACACCAGAAGACCTTGATTGAGGATAACAATTAACAGACCAGCAAGCTCCATTGGAGTGTGCTGGTGGTAAAGGCACAGTGGGGGCTGCCCTGTTCCCGTCTTCTGGTACTCTGTGTCACCTGGATATGCCCACCTGACAGCCTTCCACAAGGAACACTGTTTATGACAACATGTGAAGGTAGGTTTGGAATAATTTTTGTAGACATAAATCCTCCAAACTAATGGGACCTGGAAACAAGTTATTTAGTACTACTCTTTTGTATTTTATGAAAAATGCAATTTCTTTAACATACACGATGACACACTATGATGAGGCAGGTGAAATAAATTTTGATATTGTTTCCATTTGAGAAGCTCTGGAGCCTCTACCTCTGGGTCATTTTGTGAACATGATCTTTAATCAGACTTTTTGATAGCATTACAGTATCAAAAACATGCTGACATCAAACACTAGCCCTGGGCACATCCTGAAGTGAGTGCTAAACAAAGTAGGAAGCCTGGACTGAGGTGGAGCCTCCCCTCAGGGCAGGGGTGGCTGAGGGGCCCTGCCTGACTCCTGGCCTGGGGTGCTCCGAGGCCCTTCTCAGCCATGGGATATAGTGCACTGACCCTAAATCCAATCCCTCCCCACAGACCTCCAGCTCCTGGCTTGCCTCAGCTCTGCAATGCCTGGCTTGCTGATGTAGGCTCCAGCCTGGTTATTTTTCAGGAGTGAGATCAAAAAGAAGACTTTGATAGAGATTAGAAATTTTCTAGTCCAGTGAGCATTTTTACTAGCTTACTTTAATATGCCCATAAAAGTATGGCAACTCCATGTCTAGGCAAGAATGTACACATAAACAAGATATAAATATTTAGAAACGTATATATTTTATAGTATGTGCTTTTCTAGTAAAGTGTACTTCAAACAAGATGATATTTTGCCTATTTTACAGAAATCTACAGTAAAACGTTATAATCCCTGAAACTGGTTTACTGATGTCAAGTTTGGCTAAAGATCCTTTAAAAATAAAATCTGAAAAGCAGACCAAATGTCTACAGTCTGCAAAGGGCAGAAGACAAAATACATGTGAGTACCAAGCTGCAAAATATTTAAAAATTCTATGACATCACATTCAGGCTCAAATAATTTGAAACGAATGTGATTATTAACTGCTGAGAAAAATCCAAGTCTATGTCAAATTGTATGAAAGACAGACGGTGAGGCAGAGGTGGGAGGGAGAAGAAACCAGGAATGAGAAGACCTAGATTACAGTCTTAGTCCAGTTTTTAATGGTGAAGTCTGAACAAACTGTTTTCTCTGAGCCTCAGTTTTCTCTTATAGAAACTGCTGGTTTCTGCCAAGACTGTTGTGAATACTACGGGAAAACTCTAGGACACTCTAAAAACCAAGATAAAGCTGTAAAAATAACACTCATCAGCCAAAGCTCCCTGAAAAGAATTTGGAGATGTAGTTATTTGTGTGGTGAGAAGATAAATGCTGTAAACAACTCTGACACCAGATTATAATTACTGGTTTTCTTTCAAAGAAAGCGCCTTCTAAGGAATCACAGGACCCAAACTTGACAACCTCTTGGTTCCTATTGTTATAGGAAGTCCTGTTAGGAGGATCAGGAGGCCAAATCAGGGAGCAAAGAGGAGATCTCCTACATCTCTCCAGCCAGCATGGGATCCCCCGCATCTCCCCAGACGGCAGGGGATCCCTCGCACCCTTCACCCAGCACAGGACCCCACACACCTCTCCAGACAGCACGGGATCCCCTATACCCCTCCAGAGAGCACGGGATCCCCCACACCCCCCAGACAGCACGGGATCCCTCACACCCTCCCCAGACAGCGCGGGATCCCCCACATCCCCCCAGACAGCACGGTATCCCCCACACCCCCCAGACAGCACGGTATCCCCCACATCCCCCCAGACAGCACGGTATCCCCCACACCCCCCAGACAGCATGGGATCCCTCACACCCTCCCCAGACAGCGCGGGATCCCCCACATCCCCCCAGACAGCACGGGATCCCCCACACCCCCCAGACAGCACGGGATCCCCTGAATCCCCCAGCCACAGCACAGAATCCCTCGCACCCTCCAGGAAGCAAGGCATCTCCTGTACCTCTCCACCCGATGCAAGTGTAACCACTACCTGGCCTTTAGGAAGAGACTGGGAAAGCAGGACTACTGATCCTAGGCACCCCTACTTCCTCCCTGCATGCCCCTAGCCTCTCCAGTGCCTTGTTCTCCCTCCATTCTATGGAAAGGGGTGGGCGTCCTGTATCACGTGGTGAGGTCAGAAAAGCCAAGAAACCCCACAGGAGCGGCATGGGCTGCTCCACATAGCACAGGAGCCCTCACACAAGGGTTCCCTCAGGCACCACAGGGCCACCTCCACACAGTGGCTGCAGGGCAGGGGGATGTCCAGGGTCACCATCAGCTGCAGGAAGCAGGAGCAAGCTTGGGTGAGAAGGGCCAAGCGGGATGAGGCTGTTTGCGGAGCCTGCCACTTCCTGCCGGGCTTGGCTGTGTTCTGTGGGCTGCGGTTCTCCGAGCCCAGCTTCAGATGTAATGGAGTGGGGAATGACTGTGGTCCGAGGCGGGCACATTTTAGAACTTACCCCCTTCTTACCTGTTGAAAGGATCCTGCAGAAAGCACTCCTTCCACACCATGGAGGCGACCGCTCTGGACATGAGGTAAGAGTAGTATTTAGCGCCATAGCCCACGAGGTGGCTGAATCGCAGCTGCCAGGCCTGCCAAGAACAGAGACACAGCATGGGACACAAGTCAGTTTCCACCTGGAGAGTATCACATGTGAGAACACAGTGCAGACACAGAGAGACCCGTCAATGTCTTCATCTGCATTTTACCCTAGAAGGCTATGTCACCTATGATGTCACTATTTTCACATTTTATATACTGTTATGGGCTGAAGTGTGTCTCCTCAAAATTCACATGTTGAAACCCAAAGCCATACCTCAGAATGTGACTCATTAGGAGGCAGGGCCTCCAAAGAAGTGATTAAGTAAAAGTGAAGCTCTTAGACTGGGCCCTCACCCAATCTCACTGGTGTCTTGGAAGAGGAGGAAAGCTGGATGCCAGGGTGTGGGCACCGAGGAAAGGTTGTCTCCAGGCCAATGGGGCCTTGGGAGAAGCCAGACCTGCTGACACCTTGGTCTGGACTTCCAGCCTCCAGAACAGTGGGAAGTAAATTTCTACTGTTTAAGCCACATAGGCTCTGGTATTTTGTGAAGGCAGCCCTAGCACACTAAGACATACACAAAGAAAATTTTGTATCACATAAATATAATCATAGATAGGTGTATATGTTTTGCTCCAAATATATGGTTAATCTTCTTCATTAAGTGAGTTTAATTACACTGATTATAATACATTGTATTTCACATGACTATCTAGAAAAATAGTAAAGTCAGGAGTTTACTTATTTTTAATAATTTAGGTAGTTCAGAGAGTTGTACTCTGCAATGATTCTCTGTTGCATGAACTGCTTTTCATGAACTCGTTTTTGTAACATAAAAACCTTCCATGTTTTTACCATAATTACATTTTACGACGAAACAAAAAGTCACAGAGGAGAAGAAAAATGGGACAGAATTTAAAAATCATAACTAGATAAAGAGGGGTAGTCTGGAAATGCATTCTTTTTTGTTTTTAGAAGAGACAAACGCTAAGAACCAAAGATAACCACCAGCAACTTGCCTCCCAGTGAACAAACTGTCTGTGGTCCCTCCTCTGAGCTCCTTCCACTTATTTTCTAATCATAAGACAGGAGAAGCAGACACCTAATTGTTTTCTACAAGTTCATCGCTCTGGGATTCAGTTCTGTGACAGAAACGTAGAGAACACAGCCTAGAGACGGTGGCAAGAGTGCCAGTGGTGGAGCCGGGTGGACGTGCACATCTGTTCTGACCTGCTCGGAATGCCTGGTCATCAACATTGGAGGAGGGGATTTGGGGTCTGGCACACACAGAGAGAGCATCCATTCTACCTAAGGACAATGATGTAGTTATGATAGGAAAGGCCACATGGATTTTCATGGAAGGACACTGTTCCACTGGAAACTTCTTTTCCTAGGAATACTGCTCTTTCTCTGTTGCTAAAGTGGAACACATCTCCATTCCGACCCATCTGCGAGGGCAGGGCTACGCAAGCACAGCACATGAGCTTGCAATGGCGCGTCTGCTGCAACGTCACCCCAGCCAAAGCTGGGACTACGAAAACTGCCCTCAAAGGCTACACTTAGGACTTTAACATTTTTACTTTTCTGAAACAAATCTGACATGGCAATCATTCACTTTCTTCTGTCTTTATCTGACATAAACATTTCTTTTAAAAAATAGAAGCTTGGGCCGGGCACAGTGGCTCATGCCTGTAATCCCAGCACATCAGGAGGCTGAGGCAGCTGGGTCACTTGAGTCCAAGAATTCGAGACCAGACTGGCTAACATGGTGAAACCCTGTCTCTACTAAAAATACAAAAATTAGCCAGGCATGGCAGCACATGTCTGTAATCTCAGCTACTCGGGAGGTTGAAGCAGGCGAATTGCTTGAACCCAGGAGGTGGAGGTTGTAGTGAGCCAAGATCGCATCACTACACTCCAGCCTGGGTGACAGAGCAAGCATCTGTTTCAAAAAAAAAAAATTAAAAAATAAATAAACAAACAACTTTTTTAAAAAGCTTAACTTTTTTTAACCATGATAACAACACTCTAACGAATCGGTTAACTCCCCAGAAAATAAAGAATAAATAAAATATAATCCTTGTTACAACTCTATAAACTAGGCAAGTGAATTCTAGTTAACATATCGAGCAAGAAACATTTTTTAAAATATGGTTACTTCATCACAGGAACGTGGCAGCCTACTCCCTGTATTCACTACACAGTGGCTTAAAAGACGCATGGCAATGCTAGTGACTCTCCGGTTGTGTCCAATTCTCCAAGACAGCTAGTGTGCCTGGGCTCAGCAAGGGCTCTGTCCTAAGGAAGGTGTGCAGGAGCACTGCACGCAGATGCGGACATGGGGCCAGCACCTCCGAGGCACCGTGCACCTCCACATCCGCTCTCCTCTTTCTGTAAGAAGACACGACTGGAAGTCAGGTGGGCGCCTTGTGAGTGGTGTCCTGAAGGAATGATCCACGCCCCTTCCTTCTTGGGGATGCAGCCAGTCAGAAGTGTGGGTCTGTAACGGGGACGGCCACCTCCTGCGCTGGGCTGGGGCACTTGCACAGCTATTGTTTTGGGTCTCTCTCACAGCAGCTAGACCTATATCCTACCTCACAAGATACCCCAACTCCAGGCCCAAGTGCCACCTCCACACAGTACCATGAAAACACAACCAACAGTGGGGCTGAGGCTGCTGGAGGTGCAACAGATGCATGCCCTTGGTGGAGCTGTGCCCTGGTGGGAGGAGCTGGACACTCAAAATGTGGCCTGCACAGTCTTTTGCCAGCAAGGTCCCTCCAGCATAGTGAAGGGCAGAGAAAGGAAGACATGGAATTTTCATCCTGTTAAGACGCAAGTGGTATTTAAACAAAAGCAAAGAGCCTAGGACCATCTATGAATTAAATTCCAGTGTAACAAACTTTGAATAACTACATTTTTACTCAAAAGGCTTTTAGAATTCATTTACAACAGATACACAGTTCCATGTACTCTGTCTTATTTAAAAGGGGTATTTGTCAGCTTTTCTGTTATGCTGGAATCCTAATCTACTAAGTGATGAGAACTCACGGACCACTGGTAGCCTTTCTCGTATGAAGCAGTTTGGATGCAAGGATATCTTCTGTAATGGATAACAGCCTGCTGTTTTAATCTGACACTGCACCAAGATACGAGCACTTGTACGACTGATGATAAGCGTCTCTCAGGCTGGACGCCCCGGAATTTGTAGCACACAGTTAAGGGGCTTTGTCTTTGAAACATTTTCTTCACGGTGATTTGCCAGAACGAGTTTAGCAGCCTTTGCAGTACAGAGCAGAGTTTAATTCTGTTTAGATTCCAGCTGAATACGGCTTTGTTTTACTTTGAAAGCAGGCCCACTTCAATAGTGGCATTTGATCTGAGCTAAGAAATGTCTTAAGTTCCCTGGTTTCATCAGCTCGTAACTGAGTTCCCACATCCCACATAAACAGAGTTATAAAAATAAGACCTTTCAGAACGGTAGAAAGAGACACCAGGATTTGTGCGCGCACCATTTCCTGGACGGTCAGGGTCCGCCTTATCCTGACCCCCTGCCTGAATGCGGGTCTTCTGGTACACACGTGCCCCGCTGTGTCTTGCTCTTTAATTACAGGTTTGGGTTCAGGACTACACCGCAAGACATGCTAAATAAATTACCTCCACCTGACACCTTTCATCATAGGTTTCCAAGTCTATGGCTGACTAAGACCTACAATTCTACTGTTGTTTGAACACAATTGCTGAATTCCTGCTAATTCAACCTAATATTAAGTCCTTATTACCGTTTCACTCATTCATCTGGAATAATAAAATATAGCATTTCATCTTAAGCTCTGGAATTATATCCTCTTCCTTTTAAATTGAAGTCTTCTTCTTCCTAAGGGATGGATAAAAGCTTTCACACTTCCTTCGATGTTTAACATGTGGATCTGATTTCAAAAGCAAACCATGAAACATCTTTGTAGTTATCCTTTTATTATGGTGAGAGACATAGATTTTCAAATCCCATTGCTATCCCAAGGCATGCCTATTTAAACTTTCCTTGAGTTAGATAATCTCAGCGTCCCATACGAAAGACAAAACTTGGAGCCAGCAAAGCAGCCTGTCGAGAAACCCATGGATATGGTCACTTGCTTTAGAACTCCAGAGAATGGAAGACTCTTTGATCATTTTTACTTGCCTATAGCCCTTCTCTAATGCCACGATTTTCCAGGACCAGAAATGGAAAGGTAGCAATGGGCCACTTTATTTTCAGTTTCAAACACAGAAGAGGGGCTAGTGCAGAGCAAGCACTCATTAACTGTGTGCTAGATACGGAATAACGGAACTAACCATTTCTCGTAATTATACTCTTCTTAAATTTTTTTAGAGACAAGGTTTCACTCTGTGACTCAGGCTGGAGCGCAGTGGCATGAGCATGTCTCACTGTAACCTGGAGCTCCTGGGCTCAAGCAGCCTCCCACCTCAGCCTCCTGAGCAGCTGGGACCACAGGTATGCACCACCATGCTTGGCTAATTTTTAAAATTTTTTTGTAGAGATGAGGGTTGTTTCCCAGCCTACTTTTGAACTCTTGGCCTCTAGTGATCTGCTTACCTTGGCCTCGTAAAGTGCTGGGATTACAGGTGTCAGCCACTGTGCTCAGCCAACTATACTCTTAAATAGTATACCATTTCTTCATGTCCAGCTATACATGTAGAGATGCATTTAGCTAAAATTTATTTTAAAATGATTTTATCACTGGAACATTATACAGCTGACTCTTGAACAACACAAGTGGATCCACTTATACGTGGATTTCTTTCAATGAATACAGTCGAATACATATTGGCAGACTCTGCATCCACACCCAAACACCGGTGGGAAATACAGTGGGGATGTGAAACCTGCATCTATGGAGGGCCGAATGTTCCTATCTGCAGGTTCCACAGGGCCAATCACAGGACTTGAACATGCTCAGATTTTGGTATCCATGGTCAGGGGGTGGATCCTAGAACCAATTCCCACAGATACTGAGGGACGCTCTACAGTAGTCCTCCCAACTCAAGTGAAAT